CGTCAATGCGCGGCGCCGGAGTGGGTTTCTCTTGCCGGCGAGCCTGCTTAATGGCGGCAGACGGACGGGCAGCGACATTCAACGGGCGCTGTAGATATGTGTGCTATCCCATCTAGTCACGTGTCTATGGCGTTGAACAGGCGCGGACACCGGAGGCGCGTCGCGGGCGGCGCCCTCGGCCGACGCGCCGCTTCAATGGTGGAGGCAGTGAGAGGTCGCGTCCTCCCTGAGCCGTCTACAATGTTCAGCGGTGCGCTCTACAGCGGCATGAATGCGGGCTCCTGGCGCTAGGCGGGAGTGCGCGCGGGAGGGGGAGGGGTATTTGGTGGGGCAGGGCGGTCAGAAAACAGGCTTGGGATCGGTCCGGACTCCTGCAAACCTCCCCCACGTTTGTCTCTGGTTTGCGGAAGAAATCGCGTCCGCCTTGAAGATGCCCTAATGTCTTCAGAAAGATTGAAACCAAGATTAGAAGATGGCCTTTCAATCAAAAATATTAGATTGTTCTGATCTCTTATTTGATGCATTGGGAAAGTACGGACTAGAGTTAGTTGATCCTAAATGTACGAGGATACACTTTTAATTAACTTTAATATTGGTGCAAACTTTTAAGGGGGGTGTAACAAATCAAAACTATGATATGAAATGTTTGAAAGTTAACTATGAAGCACAAATGTAGTGTAAGAAGCAATCACAATGAGACAATAAGTAATTGCATAAATACTCAAATGCAAAATGGTAAGATGAAGAAGGTAGTTGCGTGCATCTCAACAAGCCTACTTGCCCTAAAACTAGACCCCCTTGGGAAAAGAACACTAGTATCTGATCTCTTCTCAAATATCAAAAAGTGTTGGTGAGGGCTTGCTTAAAGACGAGCAGGAAGACTAACCAAGAAAAAAAGGCCCATCTATACTAGACTACGCCCATATTAATTGATTGTAGCTTTGGTATGTTTTTAGTGTGGTGAGTCAAGTTGCTAGTTCACCTTACTGAGGCTAGCAACTACAATTAGCTCATTGCCGTAATTAAATGCCGCTCCTCGGACCATCCGGACTATGTGGTTTAGACGTGTTTTGCCATCCAACACGGAAATTTATCGATCCGCCGACCGGTCCGGACGTGTTTTTCCCGCAAATCAAAAACAAACTGGGGGTGCGGGCGTCCGGACAGCTACTATGCCCGCTTCTGACTGCCCTGGCCCACCGAAAAAACCTTTCTCGCGCCCGTGCGCATTTCGGCCTGAAGTCAGCTGCCCGCATTCATGATAGCCCAGAGCGGACACGACCACTCACTAGAGCCAACATAGAAGTGGCTCGTCGGCCCACCTACCTCAGTTAAACCAGCGCGTGTGCCGAGGAACCTACTCTGCGCCCCGAGCTCCACATGTCTGTCCCTGTGTCAGCTGGCATTAAACACCTCTTCGGCTGGCTCCTCGCATCCGCCTGCTATATAAATGTGTCCGGGCGTCGGGCTATAAACACACCTCACCTCCGCTCTCCATCTCCTCCTTGTACAACACCTGCCATGGCCTCCGACGAGTAGGAGCTCTCTGACGTTGCAGCGGTCTAGGTTTCCCAACGAGCCAACCCTATATAGGTTGGCTTGTCCACAAACCCTCCGGATCCAGTGCCATCACCAGCCCTTCTCGCCCGTCCAGGCTGGCGAACGCAGTCTCTTGGCAACTTCGTCGCGAGCAATGGTGGCAATGTGTGAGTCATGTGGGGAAAGAAGTCATGTCTGCGGAGGTCGGCACGTCCTCGGCCACCGCGAACAACGAGGAAAAGTAGATCATGGGAGCCCGCCGGCTCTTGGGTCCCACGAAGGCCACCGCCAACGCGTCGCCCGGTTACAGAGCCGGTGACTTGCCCAGTGAGGGAGGGCGTAGACCGGCGGTCGTCTTCCCCCGCCCGAAAAGCAACCATGATCCGTGCTTCGTGGAGGCGGAGACCACTATTCCCCTCCCATTGAAGCATATCCATTCGGGCCCATGGCAGTCCAATGAGCGGGCTACCCGACATAGGGAAGACACATCGTGGGAGTGGAGATCCGCCTCGGCCGGCATTAGACTAGGTTTAGCCTAGTCTGTATAGTTTAGTTAAAATATGTCTGAAGTGTAAATGTTTTCGTTAGTTTTATATGAAAATCATCCGGTTTGCATGTAATTCATCTGGTTTGTCCAAACTTGACTTGAAATATATGCGGGTAGCTTTGGATGGTCATCTCCCGCATCCGTGTCCACAGACTGCCCCCCCCTCCCCCCGCGTCCGCGGACGGATACGATGTCCGGTTTGCGGGTCAGGGTTGGAGATGCCCTTAGCTCGTATCCAGATGCATTCAACATGACAAGAAAACATGTAACACTACTAGTATCTAGGACAATGAATGTGTGTTTTTTATTCGAGCAGTGCTACGCGGACGACATTGTGCACACGATTCGTGCACGATGATTGAATCAAGCCGTCCATGCATGCAAAAGATAGCAGCACATCGCTAGACCGGTTGTCGTTCAGTAGAAGTGCGGACTATTCGTCGCGTGTGAATTAGTTCCGTTTTTATTCATACCCCTCCGAGATCTTCCTTCTCAAAAGAGGACGGTAGGTGTAGAATGTAGTGTTTTTTAATGTTTAAGCTCTTGCTGCGCGATTTGGTAATTGAAAAAATCAATGTTAAGCAGTAAACATTTTGTATTTCTACATTTAGTTTGTACCTTTGCTAACATATTTTATCATCTTGTTGTTTAAAATGTTTGCACTACGATTTTGTTGCAGGCTGCATGTGTCAATCTCACCAACAAGATATCCAACATGTGATTCGATGATTACGAGACTAGTTATACCATAATCTCAGGAATCAAACCCTATGTTTGACGTTCATGTGCCTTGTTAAAACGGAATGTTCCGATGAGAGGCAATATGCAATCTAGTATTTCCTTCGTCCCATAATGTAAGACGTTTGGAACGGAGGGAGTAGCTGTGAAAACTTTATCAATCTTGAAACTCCACGACTCCGATATTTAGCGGGCATTGTGTGAGCTATTCGGGTGACGGCGTCCACGTGTTTGTGCGTGTCTATGTCACACACAAATAAGACAACGAAAACTCACCTGCAATATATGCGCCAGTTTTCGCCTTGGAAAAACGATGGCTACAGTTTGTATTCATCTCTGTTCTATTTGAAACTCATCAGGCTGCGGAGTGCGGACGGACCCGAGGCGTACAAAAGTCTTGGAGTTGCGATGCACCCGCTCCGTAATGGGCCCAATAGGACACCACTCCATCAACCCCGTAGCCGCCTCCGTCGTGCGCGGTGGCCGCCGCCTCGGCCGGGGACAACTTCTTCTTCTTGGGGCCTTCGTCCCCGGGGCCGCCTGAGCCGCTGCCGCAGCGCCCGCGGTACGGTTCTAGTCCACGCCCTTCCCTGATCTTTTTGCTCCATCGCAGAGGTTTGCCAGAATTTTCTCTTGGATGTCTCATGAGTTCGCTCTTTGTGTCGATTTCTTCCAAATTTGCTGTTGCCCATGCCTGATTTATGAAAAAACAACGAGCTTATGAGAGAGAGGGGTGCCAGAAAACCTGTTCCGCTTAACTCGAAATTCAGGAACCCATTCTGAATCTCGTATGAATAAACCATGGGGTGGGTGGTTAACTGATACTGATGACACTGCATGTCTGCATCTTAGGAAATTCCCTTTTATGTGTGCGTCGTGAAGCAGGCCGTAGCACGTCAGGGGTCAGATAATGACACATGACCCTGACGACGAGAGCGGCTCCAGCTCCGGCCGTGATTGATTTCGTTACCTATGAGATCATCTACGCTTGTAGCTTTCCAACCTTTTGAGTATAATAGTGCAAACGCGCCGATTGAGCATGTGCTGTTGATTGTCCCCTTCAATCTTTGCTCGTGAGATAGTTTATTATGTCAGATGTCTTGAGCTTGGCTGCCAAGCTGCCTCCTTTCTCTCACAAAGATTCTTTACTCCACTTGACTCAAGCGCGCTGAAATTGACTGGTTCAGGGGCACCTTCAACTTGGCTGCCAAGCGAGTGCTTCTGTTTCCCCTTGGTTTCCTTCCTGAATTTGTCATCGACTGCAGGCTTATACAATACTGATGAGGTTGATTAGTACGTACTACGTATAATATATTCTTCCCCAAACATGATAAATATACCCTCACTTCACTTGCTAAAACCTACAGTACCACCTTCTTCACAGGTCAGAACAAGAGCGTGAGATTTCAAGTATGTCGCCAACCATGGAGGAGCCCCTTGTTGACAAGACAGGAGGGCCAAAAGAGAGCTTGGTGGTGACTGAGGTCAAGAAGCAGCTGTACCTGGCCGGGCCTCTCATCGCCGGATGCCTGCTGCAGAACGTCGTGCAGATGATCTCGGTCATGTTCGTCGGCCATCTCGGTGAGCTCGCTCTCTCGAGTGCCTCCATCGCCACCTCCTTTGCCGGTGTCACCGGCTTCAGCTTGTTGGTATATATGTTATGTCAATTCATCTCCTGCATGTTTTTGATCCTCCTGAATGAACAACTAACATCAGCCTGAATGTTCTTTCTCGTATCTGTTCATGATCATCTTATTAGGCTGGCATGGCGAGCAGCTTGGACACACTTTGTGGGCAAGCCTTCGGGGCAAAACAGTACTACCTGCTCGGCATCTACAAGCAGAGGGCCATCCTTGTGCTCACTCTGGTGAGCGCTGTGGTTGCGGTGGTCTGGGCCTACACCGGGCAGATCCTCCTGCTCTTCGGCCAGGACCCGGAGATCGCCATGGGGGCGGGGAGCTACATCCGGTGGATGATTCCGGCACTGTTCGTCTACGGGCCGCTGCAGTGCCACGTCCGGTTCCTCCAGACGCAGAACATCGTCCTCCCGGTGATGGCGAGCTCCGGCGTCACGGCACTGAGCCACGTGCTCGTGTGCTGGTTGCTGGTGTACAAGCTTGGGCTGGGCAACAAGGGCGCTGCCCTGGCCAACGCCATCTCGTACCTGGCCAATGTGTCAATCCTGGCTCTCCACATCAGGCTCTCTCCATCCTGCAAGAGCACATGGACAGGGGTCTCAAGGGAGGCGTTCCGCGGCATCGTCAGCTTCATGAAGCTCGCCGTGCCATCTGCGCTCATGGTTTGGTGAGTTTTAGTTTGTGCCCCTCCCCTCAGATTATTTGCATTGCAGGTAGACCTTTTTCATGGTCCATCTTCTGACTTAATCTGATCCTGCATGTACACAGCTTAGAGTGGTGGTCGTTTGAGCTGCTGGTGCTTCTCTCCGGACTTCTCCCAAATCCTAAGCTCGAGGCATCGGTACTGTCCATCAGGTGAGTTGCAGAATTTTCATGGAGTGTTTCACATTCTTTGTGCCCCTTTCTGACGGGAAATGTCGAACTTCTTGCAGCTTAAACACAGGTTCGTTGGCATTCATGATCCCCTTCGGGCTTGGGGCAGCCATAAGGTACTACCACTCAACAACACAGACTCATAACCTTTTGCCATGCCTGTACTACAAGTCATTGTGGCAATGAAATCGTGTATCTTGTGATTGTAGTACCCGTGTCTCAAACGAGCTTGGTGCTGGGCGACCGGAAGCTGCCCGTCTGGCTACTCGTGTGATTATGGTTCTGGGTCTCGCAACGGGTGTGTCGCTAGGACTTATTATGATTTCGGTGCGCAATCTATGGGGGTATGCCTACAGCAACGAGAAGGAAGTGGTGGAGTACATTGCAAGGATGATGCCTATTCTCTCCGTGTCCATCGTTTTCGACGATCTGCAATGTGTTCTTTCAGGTAAATTAAATATATACGACGCAAATCTCTACTCCTAATGGAGCAGTTGGTAGTCTCGCTTCCAGGTTTTTTTCGTCCCACCTCCCATGATTTTTTTTGGTACCTCGTCCCACCTCACACCGAGCCGTCACGAACCGAAAAAATCGTGTACCGAAGCCCCCACCCGCCCCACACACTCCAGGGCCTAACCTCCGATCGCACCCAAGACAATCCAGCAAAGAAAAACCTACGAAAATTAACCAGCGAAAAAAACCTAATGGAGGAGTTGGTAGTCCGGTACGGTTTATTTTCAACACTTTCCTAATGACAAAGGATCACAGATCTAACTTTCCTACCTTGGCCAAATCAACGAATCTCTCTCATTAATACAATTTGCTTTAGGAAACAAGTAATAGATTCTTTCCTACCTTAGCCAAATCAACGGATCTCTCCCATTAATGCAATTTGCTTTAGGAAACAAATAATAGATTCTTTCCTACCTTAGCCAAATCAACGGATCTCTCTCATTAATGCAATTTTTTTTAGGAAACAAATAATAGATTCTTTCCTACCTTAGCCAAATCAACGAATCTCTCCCATTAATGCAATTTGCTTTAGCAAACAAATAATAGATTCTTTCCTACCTTAGCCAAATCAACGGATCTCTCTCATTAATGCAATTTGCTTTAGGAAACAAATAATAGATTTTCAGGAAACAAATAATCTCTAATCTCTATCTCTAATCTCTAATTCTCTAATAATCTCTACTTCTAATGGAGCAGTTGGTAGTCTCGCTTCCAGGTTTTTTTTCGTCCCACCACTTTCGTCCGGTTTTTTTTCGTAGGTTAACCGTCGTAGATTTTTTTCGTTGCCTCCCCCACTTCATCGGTTTATTTTCACTTCATCCTCTCACACAACGAAAAAAACTGAACGGATCAGAACTTTCCATACTGACGCAAATTATTTAGTAATGTCTTTATGTAAAAGAATCAATCTCTAAAGATCAAATCTAAATTAATTAATCTTTATAACGTTTGTTTCCTTCCGAATCACGTCCATAACTTTCCTTCCTTGTTTGGGCAGAAACTGTTTGATAGCAGAGATTAGGAAGCTTCCTATGAGTGTAGTAATAGGAAGTATTCTTTTTCTTGATGATTCGTTTCCATACTGACGCAAATTATTTAGTAATGTCTTTATGTAAAAGAATCAATCACAATCAATCTCTAAAGATCAAATCTAAATTAATTAATCTTCATAACGTTTGTTTCCTTCCGAATCACGTCCATAACTTTCCTTCCTTGTTTGGGCAGAAACTGTTTGGTGGTAGAGATTAGAAAGCTTCCTATGAGTGTAGTAATAGGAAGTATTCTTTTTCTTGATGATTCATTTTCATGCATGATGATAGTAAATTAGGCCAACATTCACCACTATTTATCAACGTCATCAATCGTATCCATTCCTACCAGTTTTAAGGGAATCTGCTCGCTATGTCTTTTTTAAGGGGATCCGCTCGCTAAGTCATCATCGCACGTTATTTTCACAAGCAATTCCCCTAAAAAAGGCGTGGGTATTGGTAGTTGAACGCCCGCTAGGTTTTCCGCCTGTCCCATCCTTGCGCTGTGCCGCCGCCACCCGCCGAATTTCCAGCCGTCCGAGCCCGTTAACTTCGCCAGCCATCGGGTCGACTGCCCCTGCCCCAAACCCCCATCCCCGAGCACTAGCTATCGCCGCGTTGCCGCCCCAAGCTCCACGCCACCGGCAACGAATCAAGCGCCGTCCCGACACCGCCGTCGCCGGCCCAGCACCTCCAGCCTTGCATGGACAGCTTCAATGTGCAGTCTCCCTTGCTGCCTGACCTTCTGCCAGCGCATGCAGCGGCGGGGTTGGACGCGTGCGTGCTTGCTAGCTTGCTCTCCGTGCGTACGTACTTGCTCTGCGTGCGTCGCACCGGCCAATGCGCATGATGCGTGTGTGCCTGCTTTTCTGTATGTGTATGCCAGCGTGATGCGTGTGTGCGTTGCTGTGTGTGTATGATATAGATGGCCCGAGTGTGTGCATGCTGTGCTCTGCTCTCTGCTGATCTATGTGTTGGTGCTCCTGCTATATGTTCATGCCATACAAATGAAATTTCTGTTAATCTTCTGACATGTTGAGTTGGTTCTCTCTGTCTTCTGAGGGGGTGAATGCAAAGCAGTCTATTAAGCTAGGCACTATTGCTGAGCTAAATTGACAAAAAAATATTGGTAGCCATAGTTATAGTTTAAGTAGTAGCGAGTTGTCTGATATGTATAAAGAGCCCGTTGCAACTGAGCCCGTTGCTAAATTGACAAAAAAGGTCGCCAGTGTCACTTGATATGTATGAGAATATTAAATGTATTATTAACATGATTAATATTGAACTCTTAAAGTTAATGTGGCCCCGTTGCAACGCACGGGCGTTCTTCTAGTCCCTAGTAGTTGAAGACTAGTTCCTGAATATCGTTCAACTTTAGTCCATCTTCTTGTGAGGCATCATTTCGGTGAACATCAATATGTAGCATCTCGGTGAAGGTTACTCTAAAGATGTACTGATTGCAACGTGGGGTACTTGATATACATTCCAGGTGTTGTTAGGGGCTGTGGCTTGCAGAAGATCGGTGCTTGTGTCAACCTCAGTGCATACTACCTTGTCGGCATCCCGGCGGCGCTATGCTTTGCCTTTGTCTACCATCTTGGCGGAATGGTACTGATTTTACCACCCATGCCTTACAGAAAGTTCCAGCTTCACTTGTAGCATTTCTCATTTAAAGAAACCTCTCTAAACCTATATGTCTGAACTTCAGGGGCTGTGGTTCGGAATAATCTGCGGACTAGTCGTGCAGATGATGTTGCTGCTGGCCATTACCATGTGCACCAACTGGGATAAAGAGGTAGGAAAATTTCAAACCAAAACTTGTACCACGCACACGCTTTGTTTCGTCGGCTTCTCGGCGTCTCGAGTTCTTATAATGTATGGCTCATCATCTTGCATTTCTCTTGTGTAGGCTCTCAAGGCAAAGGACAGAGTCTTCAGTTCGTCCCTGCCTCATGACATGACGACATGAGCATGGGACAAAGATGCAGAATTGCTCTTGGCCAGGACCAGTACGCTAGCTGGGCAAATGAGATAAGGAATTCGTCAGGAATTTGGTTACCGCTCCGTCTCCATGTCACCAGCATGGCCGTGGCGCTTCCTGGAAGGAAGCGTCACCCAACGAGGGATCTGTTTTGGTGATTTTTGTAGGAGACGTGAGATGGCGATGGGATGTTTTCACAGGCAAAAAGCATGGCACTTGATACGATGATAAGGGAATAAAGTAAAATGTGGTGTGTACTAGAAAATTCGCAGTATGGATGCAACATTTTCTTTTTGAGAATTTAGTAGATTATTAATTTCTTGATTACAAATTATTAGATAGTTTTGTCTTGGTTGCTGATGTGGAAAAACTGAAATGCAAGGATGCAGTCACTGTTTGTCATTTACAGTGATTACGTGTGTACTTCGGTGTGTGTACCAAGGTAAAAAAAAATTGTCTAGAATAGGTAAAATTTGTTGCTGACGAACGGACAACCAACCAATGGCCGGATCGAAACACCAGGGTTGCCGGATGTTTTCTTCGTGCTCCGGAGCTCCTATTCTATTCACCGCCAGAACCGCCCCCGCGTTTCCCGTTGTCACCATCGCTCGTCGACCTGTCCATTGCCGTCTCCCGTCAACACATGGCTCTAGCAACCGGCTGACCTTCTCCGGCGAGCCTCCGCACCCTGCACCCTAATATACTCAGGGCTGCCTCTAACTCCAAAAGCCTCTTGATCTGGCTCGTTGCCTCCGCAGAAGCTAAATGATCTAAAACTATCTCCTGATGATCCCAAAAGTCAACATCCCTAAATTTAGTTGAATCATCAAGCAGACGAATGCAGGACCATCACACGTAGCAGCAAAGGCACCCAAGCACATATATGCTTGTTTGGTTGCTTGCGTAGCTCCAGCTCCAGCTTGCATCATATCGAAGATCCTCGGTGAGGTTGGCCTAGTTGAACAAATGTAAAGATTTTTAGAGGAAAGGCGCAAGCCGAGCCCGAGGAAAGACTTGAACCTCGCCCGACTTTGAATTATCAAAGCCAGCAACCGGCCATGATTACATCAAAGTACAACAAACAACAACAAAATGAAAAGGAAACAAGAATGCAATCCCATAGCAGCAGATGCATGGTGGTGAAGGACGCTAAAAAGCTACGGCTAAAGAAAAAAGGCTACAACTTGGGACCTAACAGGGGGCTTGATGGGGTCACGCCACAGGAAATGAGGTCGCCAACGACACAACAACGGTGAAGTGGGACTTGCTCCCTCTAGAGCAAGCAGGAAGAGAGAGGCATCGAGCGCGACCACCACACCAAACAGGCCGTCAAAGACACAAGCTGTAGCCCACATCAAGAACCACGCCGAAGACACTAGCCACTGAACGGGAGCGCCCTAGGAAGACACTGCGAAGATTTGAGCAACGCAGTCACCATGAAAGCCAGACCTTGATACGTCTCCAACGTATCTATAATTTATGAAGTATTCGTATTGTTATTTTATCATTCTTGGATGTATAGCAAATTTACATCATTTTTTTGATTAACCTATTGACCCAGTGCCCAGTGTCAGTTGCTGTTTTTTGCTTGTTTTTACATCGCAGGAAATCAATATCAAACGGAGTTCAAACACCGCAAAACTTTTTATGGATTTTTTATGGACCAGAAGACCACCAATGGGCCAGAGCAGCACCTAGGGGGTGCCCCGAGGGGGGCACAACCCACCAGGGCGCGCCTGAGGGCCCAGGCGCGCCCGGGTGGGTTGTGCCCACCTCGGTGGCCTCCAGCGCCCCCTCTTTACCCTATAATTCACAAATATTTCAAAAACCCTCGGGGTTAACCTAGATCAGAAGTTCCGCCACCGCAAGACTCTGTAGCCACCGAAAACAAATCTAGACCCCGTTCCGGCACTCTGCCTAAGGGGGAATCATCTCCGGTGGCCATCTTCATCATCCCGGCGGCCACCACGATGAGGAGGGAGTACTCCACCCTCGGGGTTGAGGGTTTGTACCAGTAGATATGTGTTCAATCTCTCTCTTTCGTGTTCTTGAGATGTCACGATCTTGATGTATTACGGACTTTGTTAATATAGTCGGATCATATGATGTTTTCCCCTCTCTATCTTGTTGTGATGATTTGAGTTTTTCCCTTTGAGATTCGTTGTTATCGGATTGAATACTTTATCGATTTGAGAGCAGTACTTGATATATGTCTTGCATATGAATACTCGTGGTGACAATGGGGTATCATATTGATTCACTTGATATGTGTTTTAGCATTCAACTCCCGGATTCCCGCGGTGACATTGGGGTAATCTATGCATAGGGGTTGATGCACGTTCTCGTCTTTTGTTTCTCCGGTAGAAATCTTGGGGCACTCTTTGAGGTTCTTTGTGTTTGATTGAGTATTATGAATCTGAAATTATTTGGTGTTATGTTAGTACAAACTCTTGGATAGATCGATCGGAAAGAATAGCTTCGAGGTAGTTTCGTACCCTACAAACGATTTCTTTGTATGTTCTCCACTAGATAGGAACTTTGGAGTGATTCTTCGTTGCACGTTGAGGGGTGGTTATATGATCCAATTAAATTAGCATTGTTGAGAGACTGCACTAGCGAAAGTACGGACCCTAGGCCTCATTTTCAAGCATTGCAATACCGTTTTTGTGCCCGTTTACTATTTGCTACCTTGTTGTTTTTATTTATTCAGATTATAAAAATATATTTCTACCGTTCATATTACACTTGTATCATCATCTCTTCGCCGAACTAGTGCACCTATACAAATTGCCATTGTATTGGGTGTGTTGGGGACACAAGAGATTTCTTGTATTTGATTGCAGGGTCGTTTGAGAGAGATCGTCTTCATCCTGCATCTCCCACGGATTGATAAACCTTAGGTCATCCACTTGAGGAAAAATTGCTACTGTCTTACAAAACTCTGCGTTTGGAGGCCCAACATGTGTTTACAAGAATAAAGTTGCGTAGTAGACATCAAGCTCTTTTCTGGCGCCGTTGCCGGGGAGGTTAGGTAAGCGGCACTCACATCCCGTCAACAAAGCTCTTTCCTAGCGCCGTTGCCGGGGAGGTGAGTGCTTGAAGGTATATCTTTTGATCTTGCAATTGAATCTTTTAGTTTCTTGTTTTATCACTAGTTTGGTTCATAAAAGAAAACTGCATAAAAAATGGAATTGAGGTTGCATCATATTATTGATCATCTTTATAATATCTTTCTTGAAAATGATGGTTCGAAAAATTGTGGTCAATTGTTAGAAGAAGAAGTCAATAAAATTTTTGGCACAAAATATTTGAATGATGAGCATGATTGCAATGTTGTTAGTATAAATTATTTGAATATCCATGATGCTAGTGATATGCAAAGCTACAAGCTTGGGGATGCTATGTTTGATGAAGATGATATTTTTAGTCCCCCAACTTTTGATGTGCAAATTTGTTATAATGATTCCATGCCTCCTATTTATGATGATTATAATGATGAAAGTGAATTTGGAGAGGCCATGACTTTATTTAGTGACGAATCCACCATTTTGGATGAGGCTTCAATTGACTATGATAACAAAGTTGCTATCTATGATGATTATGGTGATGACATGTATGCTATAAAGAATAATGATAACCATGAAACTTGTCCTCATGATTTTAATTTTCACTCTCATGATAGTTATTTTGTTGAGTTTTCTCCCACTACTATTGATGAGAAGAAATTTGCTTATGTGGAGTGTAATAAGTTTTCTATGCTTTTGTGTCATGAAAAGAATGCTTTATGTGATGGTTATATTGTTGAATTTCTTTATGATGCTACTGAAAATTATTATGAGGGAGGAACTTATGCTTGTAGGAATTGCAATAATATCAAGTTTCCTCTCTATATGTTGAAAGTATTAAAGTTATGCTTGTTTTGCCTTCCTATGCTAGTTGATTCTTGCTCCCTTAGATTGTTTGTTCACAAAATCTCTATGCATAGGAAGTGGGTTAGGCTTAAATGTGCTTGCCATGTGTTTCATGATGCTCTCTTTATGCTTCAATTCTTATCTTTTATGCGAGCATCATTGAAATCATCATGCCTAGCTAAAAGGCATTAAAGAAAAGCGCTTGTTGGGAGACAACCCAACACTTTTACCTAATGTTTTTGTGTGTTCACATGATTATGCTACTGTAGTGATCATGTTTTATTGCTTTTGTTTCAATAAAGTGCCAAGTAAAGCTTTAGGATAGTGTGGATGATAGTTGACTTGATTCTGTCCAAAAACAGAAACTTTTGCGCTCAGTCCAGAAATTTCTAAAATTCACTAGAATGTGCTTTTGATATAATTTTTACAGGCGATAGATATACAAATTCCCTACGTTTGCATATTTTTTCAGAATTTTTCGAGTAGCAGAAGTATGGTTTGAGTACAGATTACTACAGACTGTTCTGTTTTTTGATAGATTGTCAATGCATAGTTTGCTTGTTTCTAGTTTCTATGGCTTATATTGTTGGGGAACGTAGTAATTTTAAAAAATTCCTACGCACACGGAAGATCATGGTGATGCATAGCAATGAGAGGGGAGAGTGTTGTCCACGTACCCTCATAGACTGTAAGCGGAAGCGTTATGACAACGCGGTTGATGTAGTCGTACGTCTTTACGATCGACCGATCCTAGTACCGAATGTACGGCACCTCCGCGATCTGCACACATTCAGCTCAGTGACGTCCCACGAACTCACGATCTAGTAGAGTGTCGAGGGAGAGCTTCGTCAGCATGACGGTGTGATGACGGTGATGATGACGCTACCGGTGTAGGCTTCGCCTAAGCACTCGACGATATGACCGAGGTGAATTATGGTGGTAGGGGGCACCGTACACAGCTAAGAGATCAATGATCAACTTGTGTCTCTATGGGGTGCCCTTTGGCCACATATATAAAGGATGGAGGGAGGAGGAGGCCGGCCCTCATAGGGCGCGCCCAAAGTGTGGAGTCCTACT